CTATCTATCTATCTATCTATCTATCTATCTATCTATCTATCTATCTATCCATCCATCTTTTTACAGAGTCTCAACGTGGTCCAGGCCGGCCTCTTTTCCTTTCTCTCTTTTTAAAGATTTACTTAATGTGTGAGCGCTCTATCTGCATGTGTGCCTGCATGCCAGAAGAGGGCATCAGGTCCCAGTACAGATGGCTGTGAGCCACCATGTGGACGCTGGGAATTGAACTCGGGACCTCTGGAAGAGCAGGCAGTGCTCTTACCAGCTGAGCCATCTCTCTGGCCCCGGGCTGGTCTCAACACTATGCAGCCCAGGATAAACTTGGGCTGACCTCCACACCTCTGTCCCGAAAGCTGGTGGCATTAGAGACGCCCGTTACCGTGCTTGTGGGTTACAATTGGGGCGGGGGAGGCTGCAGCGAGGTCTCAGTGGCTGTTTCCCTCTTTCTTTTTGAGGTGCAGTCTAGGTGGCCTTGGTTGTCCTGGAACCCTCTATGTAGACCAGGCTGACCTCAAATGAACAGAGACCCACCTGCGAGCGCCCGGGCTGGGTTTCAAGGTGTGTGCTGCTACGCCCAGCTCTGCCTGCTCCTGCAGAGAACCCAGGCTCAAAGCTGTTTGTAATTCCAGGCCTAGGGGATCTGACACCCCTGTCTAGCCTCCCAGGGTACCAGAGATAGAAAGGATGCGCAGGCATACGTGTAAACAGGACACCCACACACATAAAAGAATAAAAACAATTAATCACTTTTAAAAGAGGGCCCAGCCGGATGGCTGAGCAGGTGAAGGCGTTTGCCGCTAAGCCCGACCACTCACGCTCAGTCCCTAGGACCTGCACGGGGGCGGGGGGTGGGGGTGGGGGAGAACCAATTCCAGCAGGTTGTCCTGTGACACACACCAACCACACCTCACACTGCAGAACTCGATGGCCTCCTTCTCCTTGCCCCACAGAAGATGAAGGAGGCGGAAGTCTGGTCTTTCGGGATATGGCCAGCTGACTTAAATCCCACGGGGCGCTCGAGGCTCAGGCCTCACAGGGTCCTTTCTCCCCCAGGAGCCCTCGTGCTATTGCTCTTCCTCGGCAAGGCACATCGGCATCGTGTCCTCCACACCCACGTACTGAGGTGATCCAGGAGGAGCAGAGAGGACGAGAAAGGAGCCGATCTGGAGCCTCATTTGGAAGAGGTATCCCTCAGTCCTCAGATGAAGAACTCAGCTGGCTTCAGGTCAACTCTTAAATACTTAATTCCCATTTATTTAAAGTTCTGTCAGTCTGTATACACTATTTATATTAAAAACACAGGAAGCTGGGGCTCCTAACAAAAATATACATTTCAGTTTTGGGGACTTCAGACCCTGAGAGGAGCTGCATCCTCAGCACCAGACTTGGGCGGGGGCGGGGCAGGGGAATGCAGCTCCATTCACAGCCTGGGACCCCCAGGGAACACCCCAAGACCTGATCAGTAGAGGTGGGGGCGGGGAGCGTGCCAGGAAATAACCTGGCAACGGAAGGCTGCCGCACTACTAGCAGGGGCAGACACTGGGCTGGTCCCTCTCCAAGCGGCTTTTCTCAAGAACTCCCTCAAGAACTCCGGTCTAATAGCTAAGGCCCCTGGGGACAAAGGACTCAGCAGAGATCCAGGATAGCAGGGCTTGAAGCCTAGGCTTCCAAGGCCTGGCTGTTGGCTCCCTGGGGGCCTGGGCAGGATCTGCTTCAGCTCTGCGTGGCTGGGCAGACTGTGGGAGCACCCAGCAAGCTTCAGGCCACTGGAGCTAGGAGTTGGTGACCAGCCAGGCCAAAAAAAAAAAAAAAAAAAAAAAAAAAGCGAGAGAGAGAGAAGGCTGAAGAGCTGCTGGGAGAGGGGACAGGGTCAGCGGAGCACCGGCAGCTCTGCCTGGGACCTGGCAGGTCATCCCAGCCTGCTCACAGACCATCAACCCTAGGAACAGGGCCACAGCCGTGCCCCAGCGGCCTTGAGAAGGGCAGGGTAGGGCGGTGTGATGAGAGAGGTGGGCCAGGGTCAAGGTTACGGGGGCAGCTGTGGGGCGCAGGTGTGCCAGTGTCTCCCAGGAGATGAGAAGAACAGCTATGGTCCGACGCCTGGCACCGGGTTCTGCCAGTCTGGACGCTGGGTAGAGGTCGGTGGGGGTACTGACAGAGACTGGCCTCTAACCCTGGGACCCAAACCTGATTTCTGGCATCAGAACAAAGTGGGGGGGCTGTTCCCCTGGCCAGCTTCTACCCTCTTCCTCTTCTGTGGGGCTGTGGGACCCCATCTGGAGGGGATACCCCAAGCCAGCGCTCGGGCCATCGGTGACTATGGCCTAGAACACTGGCAAGAAGAATGGAGGGTGCCAGTGTGGGAGTGGGGTGCCTTGGTTGAGACGGCCTGGGAATATGGCTCCCGGCCCACTCTCCTCTGCAGGAAGCCCATGACGGTGACCACAGGCTGGGACAGTAGTCAGGCCAGGCCAAGCTTCTTGGAAAACTGGCCCAGAGCATAGTGTTTCTTTGGATGGTGTAAGTCTTTGAAGAGGGAGGCGAGGCGGGACCTGGACAACTCATGACCTGCTGCTTCTAGGCAGCTGGCGAGCATACCAACTACCCCGCCGACACGAACCAGACAGACATGGGACAGGCAGGGAGGAGGAGGGTGCTACAGAAGGCGGAAGAGCAGGGGTGCTGGGGAGAAAGGTGGCAGAAGGCAGGGAGGGTGAGTCTGGGCCACGCGTCTGGAGTGCTGTGAGCGGGCTGGGCCCAGTGCCCGCGCACTGGTCCTCAGGCAACCCGAGGCCGGGCCCAGCTGGAGCCCATCGGGAGGCCGGGCGGCTCAGTACATGTCCTTGTAGATCTCCTGGAGCAGGGGGTGCAGCAGCGTCTCGCTCTCCGTCTTCTTGAGCCACTGCATCATCTGGGCATGCTCCGTGACCAGCTGCCGCAGGTCGGCCATCTTCTGCAGCAGCTTCGGGAAGAGGTACTGGCTGTCAGGGTGGTTGACCTGCAGATGGAACTCCAGGGCCCGCAGAATGGTGTCCTGGATGGCCTCCACCTGTGGCACATTCATGAGGCCTGGCCGGTCTGTGGGGACACAGGGCATGAGCGGGGCCTTGAGCAGGCCAGAGGAGCCTCTTACCCACTCCCAGACTCCCAGGCTCCCAGGCTGGCTAGGTCCTGGCTCTGTTGCTGGCCCCACCCCTGGGTCCTCCAGTCCCCGCCTCCACTCTCCATCCACCTCCTGCTTCTGACCAGTTCTTTTCCTGGGTCTGGCAGGGCTGTGTGGTGCCTGGCTATGACACCTGCTCTCAGATTCACATCCTGCCCCTGTGGGAGACTATCCTGGTGGCCCTGGCCTTCAGAGTCCTTAACCCAGTTGCTATGAGGACCAAGTGAGTTAGAAACGAGATGGCTCTGGCCTGAAGTGAGCTCTACGGCCTTGTGGGTGGGTGAGCAGGCTCACCTGTGCATTATACTGGACTAGAAAAGTGCAAAAGTCATACAGAAATCTCTCCACCACCCGCTGCCAACAAAAATGTAATGGTGTCTCCCCCTCCCCCCCTGCCCCGTTTCCCCAGCACAGTCAGCTCCTGTCTACACCTCTATCTGTTTAACCAGACCTAGCTGGCCCTGCGCAGGCGTGCCGTGCACCGCTGAGCACCACTGCCTGAGGTCAGGCCTGGGCCCTCACCTCCGCACAGGATGATGGCCGCGATGAAAAGCGCCAGGTCACTGTCATCCAGCTCCAGTGCATTGAACTTGACAGCAAACTCGAACTTGGGCTCAATGATGTCGCTGAAGGGCTTGCGGAGGCTGCGCAGGAACTCGTGGGTGACGAAGCCGCTGCCATTGGCCACCAGCAGCCCGTCTTTGTTGACGATGGAGGCCAGCATGGCAAAGATGGCCTCATGCACGCCGTACTTGAGGAGGGTCACCTGGTCGTTGAGGAAGAGGCTGCTGAAGCTGGGGATGCTCTTGGCGAACTCGGTGAGCTCGCGGACCGTCTCCACCGTGGTACATTGGCAGCGGTAGAACACGTGCACGCTGATCTCCTTGTAGGGCGGAAGCCCGTTCACCAGCTGCTTCCACACCAGGCCCTTCTCCGCCTGCCACAGCGTCTCGATGTCGTGGATGACGAAGGGCTGCAAACCAGGCCCGTCAGAGGCCGCGCCGGGGGGGGAAGGGGAGGCGCCCCGCCCTTGCGTCCCCTGAACCCCACCTCGGGGCCCCGGGCTGGCCGGTGACACTCACTGCACTGTGGCTGGACTTGCCGGTGAGGATGCTCCGGGCCTTCTTTTTGGTCATGTTGAAGTTTTTCAGGTAGGCGTTGTAGATGTGCTTGGAGAAGGCCTTCAGGTCGGCCAGCTGGGGGTTGTGCTGGCGCCCCTCGCTGGCCGTCAGCCCCGCCACCAGCTTCCTCTTCTCGGCCTCCGGCATCCGCCCGAAGCGGATGGCTGCACAGGGGTTGTTGAGGGCCAGTCATGGAGGAGCCGGCCGGGAGCCAGCACCAACCCTTCCCCTGCTCCCCCTTCAGGAGCCTGGGGACCCCATGGGCCCCACGATCAGCAGCCAGCAATTCGGAGGCAGCCCAGGGCCCAACTCCCCGAGAACCTTTGCTGACCAGCATTCGTGACCAGGGCCACCTCTGAGGCCAGCTCATCACCTTTCTATCATGTGACTCTGTTCCTTCACCTCCCTTGTGGGTCAGGGAGAGCGGAGATCCTTAAGACTCACTACCACAGTGAGGGGCTTTCACAAGAGGCCGTCAGAGGCCAGAGTCACGGGCTGGGGGCTAACTCTGTCGGGGGAGCGTGTCCCTGGCAAGCATGTGGACCAGAGGCGGCAGTGTGCGCGAGAGAGCTGGGTGTGGGGGAGCAAACAGAGGTGGGTCCTGGGAGCTCCCCGCTGATGAGAGACTAGCTCAAAAAAGCCCACACTTAGGAGAGGCCGCAGGCGGCCTGAGGGTGCCCGGCACGGCCTTCAAGCAGACTCCCTGTTCTCTGGAAGCCTGAGGCAAGGCTGGCCCAGTCTCCTGGAGTATCTGACCACCACCCAGAGAGGCCCACCGGGGTCCCGGCAGCCGCCACACATGGTCACTCGCTGGCTCCTGCCCGCCTCAACAGTTGAGGACCGAGGATGCCCCGGCCTCGGCTGTGCAGGCTGTCAGGTGAGGTGTGGGCGGCAGGGCTGGCACCCCGCTCCTGCTGGGCTCTGCTCTGCCGCCTGAAGCGAGCCACGGGCAAGAGCTCACGGCTACATCGGGCAGCAAGTGTACACACTCATCTGTGCCAGGCGCCCTCCGACAGCAGGGGCCCTCAGGGCCCTCGGGCCGGGCCCGGGTCTCACCGTTGTGCGACATGCCGAGTGCCAGGCACTTCTGGAAGCGGCAGTACTGGCACTTGTTTCGGTTCTTCTTCTGGATCTTGCAGCTCCGGTCACACTTCTCGTACTCCAGCTTCATGCGGATTGTCCGGCGGAAGAAACCCTGCAGAGCGAGGGCGTTAGGGGCCGGCGCCGCCCCGGCCCCCGGTGGCACGGGAGGATACACCAAGGCTGGGATCTCAGAGTGATGGGGAAGATTTTTAAAAACATGTATTTATTTTTACTTTATGGGCATTGGTGTTTCGCCTGCGTGCATGTCTGTGTGAGGGTGTCGGGAGCGAGCCCAGTAGGTGTGAACAGGTGTGAACTGTGGGCGCTGGGACTTGAACCTGGGTCCCTGGAAGAGCACCCAGTACTCCTAGCTGCTGAGCCCTCTCTCCAGCTCTGAGGAAGGTTTTTCTTTTTATTAATTCTATTTTATTTATATGTATGGGGGTTCTGACTGCATGCATGTCCGTGCGCCACAGGTGTGCGGTGCTGCAGGAGGCCAGAAGAGGGGGAGGTCAGATCTGAGGCTGGAGTCCCGGTCTCCTACCGAGTGGCTGCTGGAACGAAACCCTGGTCCTCTGCAGGAGCCGCTCCTCACCACAAGGCAGCTCTCCAGGCCCCAGGGGCAAACTTTTTTGATATGAAAGAAGGAAAAAAAAACTGAGTCTGAAGCCAGCCTGGTCTACAAAGTGAGTTCCCAGGACAGCCAGGGCTACACAGAGAAACTCTGTTTCAACAAACATTAATAATTTTAAATTACAACCCTTTTTGTTTTCACAAGCGTCCCCCCCCCCCGTGTTTTGTTCATTTATTTATTTATTTTTTGTGGGCATGGGGCAAGGGCATGCGTGTGAAGGTCAGCAGACCAGAGGGAGGAAGTGGTTCTGGGAAACTGAGCTCAGGTCCTCAGGCTGCAAGGCAGCCCCACCTGAGCTGCTCTCCTGGCCTTCGCCGCCCAACAGATAGGATCACAGCACATGGCACCACACACAGCGCCACACCCCAGTTACGTGGTGATAAGGCTGGAACCACGGGCTTCATGCACGTAGGCACTCTGCCAACAGAGCTACACCCCAAGGCCAAATGGGGACTGTGATGTGTGTGTATCTGTACGTGGGTGTATGCTCGCTGAGTGTGGGGACCCCAGGCCACAAGAGGGCTAGTGCTGGGGATACAGGAGGCTGTGAGCCACCACACCTGGCTGCTGGAAATCAAACCTGGATCCTCCCAAGAGCAGAAAGTACTCCTAACCACTGAGCCATCTCTCCATCCCTCCAGACGGCGCTTCAATAAAATAGTGAAATTCTGATGTGTGCGTCATCAGAACCACCCAGAAACACCGTTCTCTTGTCAAAGACTCTCGTAAGACGTGAGGCCCTGGAAACCCACTTCAGATGGACACTCAGTCCATGGCTCACCTCCTGCCGGCCACCCCCAGAGACCAAGTGGGTAGCTGGGTCAACAGTAGGGTTAGGGCTGGATGACCCAGAGCTCAGGCCTGTAAGGGACCAAAAGCTTTTGCTGGGGGTAGTTTCTTTCTTCTTTTTTTTTTAAAAAAAATAATTTATTTAATTTTATTTTATGTGCATTAGTGTGAAGGTGTCAGATCCCTTGGAATTGGAGTTGCAGACAGTTGTGAGCTGCCACGTGGCTGCTGGGAATTGAACCCGGGTCCTTTGGAAGGGAAGCCAGTGCTCGTAACCGCCGAGCCATCTCTCCAGCCCATGCTGGGGTATTTTCAGAGTCCCACTGGAAGCAGGCAACCCCCCACGTCCCCGGTCTGTACCTTGCACCCCTCGCACGCATGGACCCCGTAGTGGAAGCCTGAGGCCTTGTCGCCGCACACCCGACACTCCATGTTGAGGCTGCCTCCCGAGGCCCCGTCACAGCCCATCTGCAGCTGGTCCAGCAGGGAGGAAGGTGAGGAATTCTGGGAGAGGTCTGTGGATGTAGCACAGAGGGGCAGTTGAACAGTCAGCCACAAGGCCTGAGGGCCAGGCAGAAGGAAAGTGCAGCGCCGAGCTCAGCCGGCCCAGGCGGCGTGCCTGGAGGGAGCCTCTGTGGACTCTAGGGGTGCCATCAGGGATTTCTCAGGAGCCTCTCACTCCCAGAAGCCCTGCTGGAGCCAGAGTGCAGGCGCCATGAGGGCTTGAAGGCAGAGGTTTGGGCTGTGGTGTCAAAGCTGGCAAGGACAGTGGGAGGCTGTGACGACATGCTGTCACATGACTGTCAGGAACCAGGGAGTCTCCTCTGAATCTACGTTGAGATTTAGGGATGAGACAAGGCCCTGCCCTGGGTCCCAGTCACCTGGCTTCCACAGTACTGCCCACCCATCCCTTCTGTTCACCTTATAGTCTGGGCGCTCCTGGGACTGCAGACTCACTTCCTCAGACAGGTGCCACCCCCCAAAGCAGGAGGAAGACCCAATCCAGACTAGCACCCCGCCTGTGACTCTGGCCAAAGCAGGAAGCTCAGGTAGCAGAGAGACCATGGGGCTTCAAGCCTCATGGGGGGCTGCAGGCCTCCCGGATGCTAAAGTTTCAGGGTGTTTGACAAAGACTTTTCAGTGGCCCAGTACCCTAGTTCCCAATGACTGTTGTTCCAAAGGTGGAAATATTTGCCTTCTGGCCCCCAGCTGAGGCGAGTTGACACCCTCGTTTCCTCTGGCTGGCTGCTCTGGAAGGTAACACAGCTTTGGGTTTCTTGGTAGTCGGCCAGCATCTGACAGGGGGTGTTCACTCGTGGGCCCTACCCACCCGGGGTGAGAGCTGGGAAGGATGGGCACATTGAAGTCGTGGGTACCAGACTCAAGGTAAGGTCCAGAGCTCCCGGGACTCTGCATTCCCCACACCAGGCTCCTCCTCTGCACAGCAGGCCGGGAGGAACCTGGTATGGGCTCCCTTTTCCCCTCTCCTGTCCTGCTGTCTCAAGAACCTGCTGGCTACCCGAGGTGCTCAGAGTGAGGATCAGAGTCAGGGGAATACCCGGCAGGGAGGGGTAGGCCCAGCTCACCAGGCATGGGCGGAATGCCTGGACCTGGGTGAGGACTTAGCAGAACAACAGGCCGCCTGTAACTGATACGTGAGGCCAGAGAAGCGGGACTGTGGGGACAGCGTCATGGCGTGTGGGTGGCTCTTTTCTTCCTGGCCGACCACTTAGCTTAGGAGTTTTCCTCATATCACACACACAACATCACACCCAAAAGTATGACTCAGTCACCTGGTCCTGGAGGTGAAGGCCCTGCCTCTCCTCTGTTAGCTCCAGGTCAGAGTGTGGTAGATGGTGACAGGATTCTACCAGACCTTTCTACACACGGAACGCTGCCCCGAGCTCCTCAGGCCAAGGGCACCAATGGCTGGGCTTGCTGTGTGCATTGGCTACCTGTTTGGATCTTATCCTCTCTCTCTCTCTCTCTCTCTCTCTCTCTCTCTCCCTCCCCCTCTCTCTCTCCTCTCTCTCCCTCTCTCTCAGCAGGAGCACCTGTGTCCCTGGCTAGTTTTGAAAGTTTTGAACTCACTATGTGGCTGAGGTTAGCCTTGAAAATGTGTGTGTCTGTGTGTGTGTGTGTGTATTATTCTCCATTATGATCTTTTTTCTTTTCTTTTCTTTTTGAGAGAGAGTTCCTCTGTGTAACAGCCCTGGCTGTCCTGGAACTAGATTTATAGACCAGGCTGGCCTTGCACTCACAGATCTGCCCGCCTCTGCCTCCTTCGTGCTGGGATTAAGGCGTGTCACTACCCGTGGCTTCCCCTGTTTTTTGAGACGTGGTCTCTTGGCAGACCAGGAGCTCAGTGCCTGGCTCGACTGACTGAGTGAGCCTTCGGGACCCTCCTGGCTCCTAACGCCCAGCATTAGGGCTACGGGTCATACTAGCCAGCCCTGATTTGTTCTTAATTTAACATAAAGTATTTAAATTTATTTTAGCTATGTGTTGGGGTGCTCTGTTTGTGTTTATCTATGCACCACAGATAATGTACACGGAGGGGTCAGAGGACAACTTTCAGGAGCTCGTTCTCTCCTTCCACTGCGTGGGTCCCAGGGATCAAACTCACCAAGCTTGGCAGCAAGCGCCCTCGCCCTCTGAGCCCTCGAACGTGCCCATGCCTCGTTCTTTACGCGAGGGTTAAGTATCTGAACATATGAGAACATCTCACCTATTTGTTTGGCCGCCGCCTCAGCCCACGGCCTCGATGCTCTGAATCTGCCTCCTCAGCCTCTTCTCTTTTCTTGACTCAGGGTCTCACAACCCTGTAGCCTAGGCTGGCCTGGACCTCAGCCTCCTGAGCGCTGAAATTACAGGCCTACTGGCTCATGCCTGGCTACAGTATGAATTCTGAACGTATGCTCAAGGCTTGATGCCCAGCCTGTGGTGCCCGTGGGAGGTGGGATCTTGGCGTCACTGGTGAGCCTTTGACAGGCATGCTGGACCCTGTCTCTTCTCTCCCAGACCCCAGGAGGTGAGTGTCTCCCTGCCACAATGTATGAAGCACCACGGACCCCAAAGCAGTGAGGTTGGCTGGCCTGGGCTGGAACCTCCCAAACTGTCATCCTAACTAAAACTTTTTTTTTTTTAAGTTGCCTGCGTCAGGTATTTTGCCACAGTGATGGAAAGCAAACATTCCTCCCAGCTTAACCTGCTGCTCTCAGGAGGTGCCTTTGCCCACCTGAAACACCTGCAGCTGGGCCCAGAATCCCACCTGCCTGCCCAGACACCTCCCAAGGGCCTACTCCTCTCAGGACGGACAGGAACAGTGCTACATTTGCCAGGCCCCACCTAACAGCCAAGGGTCTTTTGGGTTGTTTGTGTGTTTGAGTTAGAGTCTAATTAGGTAGCCCAGACTGGTCTTGAACTCGAGGAGCTGCTCATGCCTCGGCCTCCCAAATGCCACCATGCCTAGCCTCTTTCATTTTGTTGTCCCCGAGGACGACAATCCCTGCCAGACAAGGGAGAGCCACTGAAGCCAGAGGAGGCCAAGGACCCCACCAAGGTCATCTGCTGCAGGATGTGTTTGCACACCTGTGCTCCAGAACTCTCCTGGGAACCTCACATCCCTTCATTCTGCAGAAAAGCCTCAAAATAACCTTTCAAGCTGGGCTTTGTGCTCCTATGTCACAGGTGAGAAGAGGCTGATGAGGTCAACGTCAGCTGTGGGGATGGCCTTCCCTGCCGATCTGTCCTGACAGCCAGGCTTCCCTCCACAGACCGTCTAGATTGATTTAATCCCAGTACTTAGGAGGCAGAGGCAGGCCGATCTCTGTGGGTTCGAGGCCAGCCTGGTCTGCAGAGTGAGTGCCAGGACAGCCAGGCCTACGCAGAGAGAATCTATCTCAAAAGGAAAGAAAGATAAAGACCCGAATAACATTTAAATCAGGAGGCGTGAGCAAAGAGTTACCCTTCATGGCGCATGTGATGGTCACCCCAGGGAACAACTGGGTCCTCTCCCCTCCTGGAAGAGGGGACCCCACCTCCACTGTCTCTATACTTAAGCTGCTTCCTGGTGACTACAGGGTAAGGACTGGGCACCTATAATTGTGTGAGCCAACCCTTCACACACACACACACCTCAAAACAAAACCCAAACCTTTACTGGTTGTTGTGGATATAAACATGTTTTTGTTTTGTTCCCAGGTGTGGGATGTGGGCTGATTCAGATGGCCCATAGCAGCAGACTGTTTGCCTCATGAGGGCTCTGAGAGGGGCTCTTTGCCAGCTGCAGACAGTTGGAATCTGAGGACTCTGGAGACGGAATAAATGCCAGCGCCCTGAGAGTGTGGAGCTGAGAGAACTTGGCTGCTCCTGCTTCCCCCTTGTGGCTCTTGGTAGCTGTTGTGAAATAGGAAGTTGGAGAACTCCTGAAATAGGACTGGACTGGCTCCGAGGAACCTGACGACCCTGACCAGATTGAAACAGCTAAGAGAACTGTGCCCCTTCTCCCACTAACCCTTTCCCTCTCCTACCTGGTTTTGGGGTGTGGAAGCGACTGGGATGGAGTAGGGAGAAAGAGATATAAGAGTCTTTTATAAAAACACACCAACAATTGGTTCTGTCTGTCTGGAAACCCCTGACTAAGGGGCAGGCGATGTGAGGATCAGAAATAAAGCCTGAGTCCTGGAGCTGTGCACTCTGCCGCAGCCCAGAGCAGCGGCATCGTGAAAAGATCAGCGGCGAGATCAGCACTGGGATGACATGAGGCCAGTCCTCACTGAGCCGGTGTAGGCCCCCACGTGAAGGCCAGTCTTGCCATCTTTGTGGTGGCACGTGGGCCAGATTGGTTAGTTACTGCCCTGCCGGAGTCCTCAGGTGAGGACAAGCTCCAGGGGAAACTGAGGCTGGGGTGCTGGCTTCTTTTGTTCTGTTCTATTTTGTTTTTCTTTGTTTTTTGAGACAGGGTCTCTCTGTGTAGCCCTGGCTGTCCTGGAACTTGCTCTGTAGACCAGGCTGGCCTGGAACTCAGGGGTCTGCCTGCCTCTGTGGGATTAAAGGCCTGTGCCACCACACCCAGCTAACTGGGTGGTTTCTTGGTGGTTGTCCCACTTTTCGTGGACTTTGAGCTCCTCTGGGCTGGTGATCAGCCCTGTCCACCACTGCCTGGCCCGCTGCCCAGCCCTGGACACTGAGGAAAGCAAGCAGGAGGCGAGAGGAGAGCCACTTATCTGCGTGGCTGTGCGCTGCCATGAGGCGGGAGGGGGCAGAGATGGAGAGGTGGGGCGTGAGTGCCCGCTCCCGGGTCGGTGCCCTGGCCATGTGCTTCCTTGTGCCAGTGTGCCCTGTGCTGTGTGCCAGGGTGGAGCTTGTACTGCCTTCCTCAGGACAGGATGGCAGCAGTCCTGGGTATTGACTCGGAGCAGGAAAAGCTCAGCATGAGCTGCAGGAGTCGGAGCCCTGCAGCCTTCCTACTGTTTCAGGGTCCTTCAGGGTCCCCCAAAGGGGCCCAGGGGCAAAAGCCGCAGACTCACGGGCACCGAGGGCTGTAGTGAGCAAGCGAGGAGACTGAGACTAAGGGTGGAGGTGGCACAAGGGCCGCACCCGCAGGGGCCACCTGGGCTCCCTGTTTTGCTGTGGGTGATCTCTAGGTCTCACTGCGTCTCACTATGCAGAGCAGGCTGGCCTTGAACTCACAGAGCTCTTGTCTGCTTCTGCCTCCCAAGTGCTGGGACTAAAGGCATGCTCCACCATGCCTGGTCAAGTTATCTATTTTAACCCAGGGACAAAAACAGAACAAGAACCCTTTTAAGTTAGGAAGGTCAGACATGGCTGCTGAGGAAGACACACGGGCAGCCTGTGGCATATGATGGACACTCCTCGCTCACTCCATTTAAGGCTTCAACCAAGTTAGTTCCTAGGTCTTCACTGTCTAGCATCTGTTACACGTAAGGGTTTTGGGCTTTTTGTTGAAACAGGCTGGCCTGGACTGGTGAGTTTCCTGCTTCAGCTCCCAAGTGACAGGTGTGAGCCAACATGCCTCAAAACTTTCAGTGTGGTGTCCTATACCTTCAATTCCAGCAGAGGCAGGCGGATCTCTGTGAGTTGGAGGCCAGCCTGGTCTACAGCATGAGTTCCAGGACAGCCAGGGCTATGTAGAGAGGCCTGTTCTCAAAAGATAAACAAAAACCTCTATTACTAGTACATGGGAGCTGTGTGTCGGGGGCCGTGTGGCCCGGTACATGTGGAGGTGAGGGAGGAGCGTGCGGCTGGTCCTCTCCGGCCCGTGTAGGTCCCCAGGGTGGAACTTAGGACTCCAGGCTCGCGCGGCCAGTCTTCAACCACTGAGCAGTGTCACGGGTCTCAACCTTAGCCTTACCTCTCCTTCCTCCATGCCGGTTCCGGGGGATGGAGCTCAGGTGGATGGGGTTGGGGGCAAGCCCCATTTCCCTGGCTCCTCCCACTTCATCCTTTTTAGGGCAATGCCCCATTTGTGCTCCTCTGAGCCACGCTGTGGTCACCTCTGTGTGCCCAAGGACACAGCCCAGGGCAGAACGGCAGGGCGCAAGGGGCGCAAACCTGCCGCATCCTGTCACCATGACGCCTGCAGCGCTCCTCAAGTCAGCTGGCAGAGTCTCCGGATCAAAGCTCACACCGGGAACACTATTCTAGCCGCTCTCTGCTAGGGCCGGCCTCCTGGGCCGGCGGTTCTGACAGCTGTCATCGGTCCACTTGCCAGGCTGCCCCCACCTGGTGCCCTGTGTGCCCCCACAGTCAGGGCTGCTCCAGGTGTTCTGCCACACCCAGCTGCTCCAGCGGCGCACTTTGGCTGGCACGTGAACATTATGACCTGAGTAATGGCTTGTGGTGGGAAATCATATGCTCGAGGTGTGTGTGAAACCCCAGGACAGGGCACTTCCCGCCCAGACCCAGATATGGGGACAAAGTTACCAGGGCAGGCAGCCAGGCCAGATCCCGTACCCTTCTCCTCCCTGCTCAAAACGTGTCCTCAGCATCTCATGACCCTGGCACACTGCCAGGCCCCAGTCCCTTCCCTCTGACCCCCCCCTCGGCAAGGTCTCTATGTAAACCAGGCTGGCCTCAAACTCACAGAGCTCCTCCTCCCTCTGCCTCCTGATGCACTCTCTGGCCCTCTCTGGTCCTCTCCTGAGCTAAAAGCAGCTGTAGCGCTGAGTGAACTCTGACTCCTGAAGTCCCTACTCTCTTCTGAAAATGCTTAGTTCCCCGTCACAGCCAATATCTCTAACACACCAAAACATGGGCTCTGGGCCCTCACAGCACACCATGACCACTGGGGGGATGTGGGTAGATCAGTAGGACTGACACGGTCCTTCCGCCCCGCCAATCCTGAGCTCTAAAGAGGGAAAGCCTTGCTTTGTAGGTTTCAGGTGGCACGGCTCAAGGACTTGCTCTCTTCTTGGCTGCAGGTCCAGGCAAAAGCTCGTCCTATCCACAGCCCTGCTACCTCAGACACAGGAGGCCCGAGACCACCCCCCTGGAGTGGCCTATCCAGCTGAAAGCAGCAGGAAGCCAGGTCTTAAGACAGCCCATCCCTCCTGACTGCCAGGCTGTCTGTGGGCAGGGGCCAGGGTCATCAGGATTCGCTGCTGACCAAGGCAGCCAGAGGAGGAAGGGCTGGGAGGGACAGCGGTGGGGCCTGGGCAAGCAGGAAAAGCCAGGGCTGAGGGGCACCACGTGCAGGCTGGACACGGTGCCATGATGGCCAGATGACAGGGCTGTGCCACCACCAGAGAAGAACGTCACCACTGCTACCATCAGAGGGTCAATGCAGTGACGCAGCAAGTGGAAAGAGCCAGCTGAAACCTGATGCTCGAAAGTGGCCCAAGTCACAGGTGCCCACTCGGACCACTTGGCATTCACGCTCAGTCACGGCCAAGCATAGGGTTAGTGCCAGGTCTCCTGGGTCGAGTGGTCCCTGACGACTGCAGGCATGCCTCACAGTTCCCACTGAAGTCAGGCCGAGTGATGCCCCTCCGAGGTGGAGAGCCTGCCTACCAAGCGCAGGTTCTGAGTCTGATCCCTAGCACCAAAGCCTGTTACTAAACGCGGCCCGGGCAGGTGTGTGCGAGGGCGTCGGAGACGCTCGCTGGGTAGCAGTGACAAGGTGATGACATGTCCTGCACATGCCCTCCGGCTTCCCGTAAAAGCCCGTCTACCTCACTGCCGTTCCTGTGCTTTTCAAGAAGGACTGCGATTTCCCAGCACCCGGCCCCCCAGCTGGTGACTGGCACAGCAGCACCCCGGACTCTGGCATCGGTCGCTGGCACTCTGTTTCTTGGCACCCCAGGCTGTTCACAGGACCCCGGCCCGGCCCCTCAGCCTCCTCCGTACCTGTGCAGCTGCTGGAAGGAAGCACATGCTCTGGTCCCCCGTTGAGCTGCTGGGCTCCTTCAGGTGTGGCCACTTCCTCTTTCTCCTCTTCCCGGGCCTCAGGGCTCTCCTCCTGTGGCTGCTCCATGACTGACCCCCACTCGGCGTGGCGCCTGCAGGCCTGGTCATAGCTCTGACACCATCTGGGTCTGAGCAAAAATGGACCGCCTGGGCAGGGAGAGAGGGAAGAGGTCAGGGGAGAGGGCAGTGGGCACAGGCACCCTGCAGGGCCACTGTCAGGCGCAATGCTGCTCCCTCGCCTCTTAGGTCCCTGAAGAGCTAGGGTTTCACGTCTCGAACCGCAAGCCCCCTGCCCCCTGCCCTGCCTGGCTCTCGGGGCAGGCTGGCAGGGTTGAGAGCAGCTTTCATTACCCGGGTGACGCTCTGCTGTACCATCTTTCCTTGTTTCCCTGCTCTCCAAGCCTCCCTAAATTGCCTGATCAACAGGACGATCCCAATTCTCCACATCGCAGCCCACACCCCACCCAGCACTGTGGCTAAGGCTGCAGCTGACCAGAGCCACTGTTCTGGGGGGCGTCCCGTCCCGCCTGAGTCACAGTAGGAAACAGCTCTGTGCTCCGGCTGTGCTGACTCCCACGGGCCAGCAGCCCTGAAGAGATATGTTCTCCCTGGGTCCTTCCAGGAGGGGCTATGTGCTGGCCAGTTTTATGTCAACTTGACCCAGGCTAGTGTCTGAAAGGAGGAGACCTCAGTTGAGAAAATGACTCCATAAAATCCAGCTGTGGGTATTTTCTTAACTAGTGATCCACTGGGAGGGCCCAGCGCACTGTGGGTGGGGCTACCTCAAGCGCTGCTCAGCCACTGCCAGGGCTGGTGGTCCTGGGTACTGTACGCAAGCCTCGAGGAGTAGGCCAGGAAGCAGCACCCTCCATGGCCTCTGCCTCAGCTCCTGCCTCCAGGTTCCTGCCCTGCCTGAGTTCCTGTCCTGACTTCAATGGTGAACAGTGCCAGCAGAATAAACCCTTTCCTCCCCAGGGTGATTTTGCTCACGTATTCCCTCACAGCCACAGTGACCCTAGCTAGGACAGGCTGCAGCCATGAGCCCAGTCTCCCTCACCAGAGTGTGACTCCCACGTTCATCAGATTGAAGAAGGTGACCTCGAGCGCTGCTCTGGAAGTGGCTAGGCTGCGCGGAGACCACCCACAGGGAGCAGCAGGCGCTCTTCTGCTCCTGAAAGCTCAGGGGAGGCCCAGGCCAGGGCCTGAGCTCAAGGCTGCACCTTCCTTGGGCTCAGTCCACAGGCAGCTCAGCTGCATCCCATGCCGACAGGAATTCCCTCTTCCCAGGAGGCTCAGGATTCGGGACCTGTGCCTGTCTACCTAACCGGAGGCCCCCTGGGATTCGGCTCATCCCTCAGCCCATTCTAGGCCAGCCAACTCGACTACAGAATGGACGAAAAATTTTCAGAAACCCGGGAGGCTTCAGGGCTGGTGATGACTCCAGGGCT